ACACTGGGCCCTGCGCTGCTCCCAGAGCTCGGCCTGGGCTCCCTCCGGGGAGGGCAGGAACCCTGCCGCTGCGGGAGGCTCCTGTGCGAGACCTCGAGGCTCCTGGCAAGCAGGTGGGTCCTCAGCCTCACCGGAGAGCTGGGGCTCACCCGTGCTTGGAGGGTTTGAGGCTCTGGGAGTTGCCTGGTTTTGCTTTTCCCTTTAAAGGCCCTGCGCTGCTCCCAGAGCTCGGCCTGGGCTCCCTCCGGGGAGGGCAGGAACCCTGCCGCTGCGGGAGGCTCCTGTGCGAGACCTCGAGGCTCCTGGCAAGCAGGTGGGTCCTCAGCCTCACCGGAGAGCTGGGGCTCACCCGTGCTTGGAGGGTTTGAGGCTCTGGGAGTTGCCTGGTTTTGCTTTTCCCTTTAAATCCTGTCCCCAGAACTTGAATAATGCCTGGGTTGTTCTCCCACTTCTCTTGTGTCTTTATTTCTTTCTATAAACAGGCTTTTAATAGGGCAGAGTTTCTCAGGACAGAAACTGCCCCTTCTTGAACATCTAGGAAATTTCCTATTTTGCTACAAAAAAAAAAAAAAAAAGTAGAATGGAAATGACAGCTAAGGAGCTAGTTCTGTTTGGGTGAGAGGGATGTATTTGTCAGTGTCCAGGAAGCAGTCCTGGCAGGTAGAGGGTTATTGTCTCAGATTTGTTCTCAAAAGTGTTTCTTGGATAGGCCTTTTTGTAAGGAGAAGAGTGATAGAGATTCCTGTACATGGCTTGGAGTAAAAAAAAAAAACAAAAAAAAAGGTCTCGTTGTATACTGTGTGTGTTATGTTCTGTGAACAGAGAGACTGTAACAGGGTGTACCCTCATTCAGCGACTGTAGCTGTTTTAAAAGTGAGTAGAAAACTTCAGGTGTTTGTGATGGATTTCCGCTATAAAAGTTTATCAATTGCCTTGCTAAGTGTCATGGAGCTCGCGACGCATTAGCAGCAAGGGCCTGCCAACTGTATCGTTTATTCCTTAGGGAGAGAAAGAGAATTTTTCATTAACTACAAAAAGTGCTATTAGAGTTTTCTTCTCTGTATGAGTTCTTTACCCCAAACCTGACATCCTCCTCATGCAGCTTCTTCCAGGGAAGAAGATGGAATTGCTGTCCAGACTTTGAGCCTGTCTGATTTGTGTGTTTAGAAGTATCTTCCTAAAAGCCTGCATAAAAAAAGAAAATATGTTTAAAAACAATTTTAAGCCCAAAAGAATAATAATAAAAAAAACACCGCGTGGCTCTTTAATAAATATTCACTATCCAGTTGGAAAAAGTAGAATTTTAAATATCTTCCATATTGGAGAAATACATATATGTTTGTCAGTACTGATAGACTCCATGTAGGCTTAATAGAATGGTAGAATCTTGCCAATGTTATACAACTACTTGTACCAAGTAACTTAAAATTCCTGTTTGACCTTAAAATCTGTCCTCTTTAACATGAGGTGAAATAAGATTGAGAATTAATATAACGTAGTTACAGAAATTCTTCTTTGTCAGGCTGTCTGTGGGGAGGGGGAAAATAATGTTAATCTAAAAAGGTGATGTGGAAATTTTGAGCACTGAGTCTTCCAATAAAATTAATTTTTAAAAATAATGATACAGTTTAATGAACAGTGATTACCTACACTGTAGCGCCAGAGTGACATCTTTGAATAAGAAAACTTAAAAGTGTCAGAAGCCCCAGATAGATATGAAGGGTATGATTAACAGGTGTGTGAATATTTTCTATTGTTAATCTGCACAAGAGTCCTAACATTAGCAGATTCTTATCTGCATAATTAACATTTTTTCTTTTTTTCTTTTATTTTTTTTGCAAGAATTCATGTTCTCAACTTACCGAATGTTTCCAAAATAGTACTTTCCAGGCTTTTCATCTCTGATTTGTAGCTTAAGTGGTATTAGAAGCAGCAGTTATAGGCAGCCGCTGATGCCATGAAGTTCCTTTATACCATGCAGAAAACTTAGCAGAACCCAATGAATTTATTCACTGTTGCTGAGAGGCACAGATTTGATAGCTGGTCCACTGTTTGCAGGCTGTGGGAAAGAGCAGCATACTCTTTCCTGGAGAACTGTGAAAAGAATTTTTACTATATCTTTCCACTTTCTGAAAGGTAAGAAAGGATCAAGATAGCAAAGTTACAAAAATTTGGGGGTATAGAGATAAGATTTGTAGATTTTTTTTAAAAAATATATATTACCAAAAAGCTTTAAAGATGAGCATTGTTTGAAGGGATGAAAGAAGGCGGGAATATTAAATGCAGGCTCTGAGAAGGAAGGTTGTGAAACAAAGTGCTTACTGCATCTAAATTTTCTGTGAACATTTTATGTTCTTTATAGGTGGCATGAAACGTCCTGTTCATAAAAATATTGATAAGGAATGCTTTTGGCACACCTTGATAAGTTACTTTGGCCTAAACATCGATTGCCTCTTGTAGAAACCTGTAAGTAAAATAAACATAGTTTGATTTTTTTTAAGAGTACTCTAGTGATTTGTTTTCTGATTGTAGTGAACAGTGTCTGACTGTAAAAGGAAAAATGAATATAAATTATTTTATGGGCAACTTTTCTTTATTCATGCTATAACAACTGCTGACAAAGACCATAAAAGCTGAGTTAATTGTTGTGTTTTACAGAAATGGCAGCTCAGAAAAGGAAGTCTACATTAGTGGAGCCTTCTGCTAAACGCCCAAAGCTGGATAAGAATAGCAAGCCATCATCAGCAAAGAAGGAAAAAGAAGTGTCGGATACAAAAAATGTCTCAAATAAATCAAAGTCAAATCGATACGCAGTGCAGGAAAAAACAGTGCTCAAAACCTCCGTCAAATTGAACAGGTTAGTGACAAAACAAAAAAAAGTTCTAAGTTTTATCACCCTGCTGCACTATATTAGTGCAGAAATAATATAAGCTGAGAGAGTGTGAGTTAAAGATAAAATTAAATAGTACCACTGAGAAGGTGGCCTTAAAATCATGAAGTATGTATTTTATACGTGGACTTTTCTCCAGAACCATTTTAATGTCTTGAAATCCAAAAATGCTTGCTACAAAGCAGATTGTGAAGGGCAAAACAAATCTGATACTGCATAAGTTAATGTTTAAATTTAAAGCAGGAAGTCTCAGAAATGAAAAACTGCTTAAGATGTTGAGAAGTATTCATCTGAGACTCATAGTCTGGTCTTGCAATATATAAAGAAAACCATGAAGCAGTAGACTTGAGAGTGGAAGTGAAGTCTCCTCAGACTATTTTGGAAGAAAATAATTCTTCTGTGAACACTGAAAGTGTAAAATCTGGTAAAAGCTTATGGGCAGATGTTGTCAGAATGAGGGGACTTTTGCAGCAAATTCTAATTTCTGAGAACTGAAAAATAATTGTTTGGATCTTTCAGTGACAACACAAGTGCACCTGAACTTGGAACACGCATGACCACGAGATCATCAGCAATCAACGCAAGTAATAAGACAACCACTCAAAAAAAGATCCAGCCTAAGTCTGCAAAAAGTAAGGAGATATGCCAGAAGAAATCAGTGCAAGAAATTCCGAAGTCAAAATGCATAGTTGCACCAAATGAGCCGGTAATGAGGAGATCGCAGAGACTGCAGCAGTTAACACAAGTACCAGCAAGATCCCTACGTAATAGAGAAGTCAAAGAAGAAAAAGCTTTGGAAGTTAAACAAAGCAGCCAGACAAAAAGACATGTTTCCAGTAGTACAGCAAAACTACTTAAACCTGCTAAAGAGAAAACGGAACAGAAAAACATGAAAATAAAGCCAAGCAGTAAAAGTGAAGATAAAGAAATAAGTATAGAAGTAACCAGCTCTCTGAAAGAGAAAAGATGTAAAGCAGATAATAAAAATGAAGATTTCGGCAACTGTCAAAATAACCTTCATGGAACACCGTTGTCTCCTGATCACAGCCTTGAGGAAGCTAAGGCAGAGCAAACAGATCTTGTATCTCCAATTTCCAGCAATGAAAAGAAAGTGGAAACAGATTCGCTTAAGCCAAACACTAAATCAGTAATTAAAAAAAAACAGCAAGCGCATCAGAATGTGAAAAACGGTACAAAAACAAAAAAGGTTCCAGAGTCATCTGTAAGTGAAGCAGAGCTAGCAGATCAACCGGAGAGTGATGTGAAATCCAAGAGGGTAAGCATTCTTGAACTTTGCGAAGAAATTGCAGGTGAGATTGAATCAGATACAGTAGAGGTGAAAAAAGATTCCCCAAATGCTGAGGACAGAAAAACAGAAGAAAAGCATGAAGAAGAACTGCAACAAAATGAAATGCCTGGTCAGAAAGAACCTAGTCAGAATACACAATGCAAACGTTTTTTCCCTAGCAAAAAAGTAATGCCTGTCAAATGTACTCTGAATGGTAGAAATAGCTCCTCGAACAAAAACTCTAAATGGACCAAAATTAAGTTAATGAAAGCTAATAACGTGAAGCAAAGTAACTTAAATTCCAAAAATGTCCCCAAGCTTTCTTTGTTAAAAGATTGTCCTGAAGTTTCAGAGGCAAATCAGATTACAGAAGCACAACTTTCTAACGCACAAAACAAGTTGTCAGTAATAAGACTATCTGAGAATGAAAGCACAGCCTGTGTGCAGGAGAAATCAGACACTTCATCTGAAAAAGCTGGAACTAAAGAAGTGACATTAGAAATAAAACAATCCACAAAGAGCGGCGTGGAAAATGGCTTGTTGCGTAATTTGGCAAAGTCTTTCGCTGAGCCAACCCCAGATGAGGTAAGTCATTTTAATTATGATGTGTGGTGGGAGGATGTTCTAAATCTGTTTTCTGAGAGTGCTGTGCACAAAAGGTTTGTTTTAACAATGACATTATCTTGCAGTAGCTGATTTTTTTTTTTTAGTACAGGACCCATTAATAGGTTTGGTGTGTTACCATAGGAGGGCTAAGAGTAAGTGGGAAAATTAATTTATTCCATCTCTCTAAGCTCATTAGTAAACTTAATGTTGGTGGTTAAAATTACTGGATTCATAGAGACACATTTTGATGACACTTTAAACACACATAGGTAATCTGTTCTGCGAAATGATAGTAAAAGACATGATAAGGAAAATGTTTACTGCCCAAATAAGCTGTGATTAAAATTTAGGATCTCAAGGGCAAAGGGACTTTTCAGAAATTTCTTCTATAAGTTTACAGATAAAATGAAAATTAAAAAAAATACCAACTCTCCCCCCCCATAAAGAATATCACAAACTTCAGTATAGGCTAGCTAATTAATACTGTCTTTTTTGCATAAAATAATGTAGGAATTGTAAAATTGATGCTGTATTCAAAATTTTAATACTTCATTAACTGAGTGTTTTAGATAATTGTTCAGTGACATTGGATAGTTGTTGTATTTTTAATGTCTATTTAAATCTAGTGTTTTCTGTTTTACTTAGAGCTTTAGCTTGCGTTTGGAGTCAAGTCCAGAAAACTCTCCGGTGAAGTATCTTACAGCTCCTAAACCACCGAAACATTTAAAAAAAGAATCTGGAGAAAGTGAACTTCAAGGTAATTGTTTATTAATATTTTTTCTTCCACTTCTATCACTGATCGTAAAAATTAGCCTTTCTTTTACAGGTATGTGGGATGTGGAGATTTTGTCTGTGTTCTTAGGTACAGTGGAGGTAGAACTAAACTTCAGAGTGTAAATTTGTTCCTTGAGGTTTTCGTATTTCTTTGTGGGTGTCACCACCCCTGCCAGCCACTTCAGTGGCACAGGATATACCTTTATCTCTGGGCTGATTACTGAGAGTGAGAAGTACCTGTTTTTCTGTCTAGCTCTCCTGGTGGTACTTATGTGCTTTGCTTTAAATCTTTCATATTTCTTTCTTTTTTTTTCTCTCTCTGAATTTCTTGGCATTAAAAGCTGAATGCTTGATTGTTGCATCTGAGTAGAAGTGAAGTGACAACTAGAGAGAAACAAAAAAACCCAAACTTCCCTTTTCCTTGCAGTAAAATAATAAAATTTCAATTTTGGACCCATTTTTCAGTTGGAGTCTTCACTTGGGTTGTGTTAGAGATTGTCTTTTGCTTGAATAGCTATCTCCATCTCTTTCTTTTGAATACCTCTGGTTAGTTTTGATCAGATTACAGACTGAGTAATCACTCTCCTGGATTTTATTGCATATTCTTCGTTCATCGGTCAGTAAATGCAGTGAATGCTGTTTGTCAAACCTTGTGATCAGTGTGATGTGAATATTTTGGCTAAAATAATAATTTAAGGCTACATTTGACGGAGAAATACTATCGTTAGATCACTAGGACAGTTTTTCTTAACTTTCCTCTTGATATTTCATCCATGTGCTTTTATTTTATTTTGTTGTTTTTGCTTTTTTTAATCAACTTGATCTTCAAAGCACTGTTACGATACTCAGCTCTGCAAAATAGTTCTACTATTACCTCCATTGTAGGCCCTTTTTTTAAGGGTCAGAATACTCTTAACAGTATTGTTAGAAGATGTAAAAAATGTTTGTTTCTTTCTTTCATAGTATATTTTCCTAATGAATTACAGAGCATGCCATAGGTAGAGGGGATGCTATCCTTGTATGTGTCTAATGTAATTAGTTTGACTATTGCCCTGTTTAGCCACTGGCAAACTGATCTACAGGACAGCAGTGGAAAGTGACATGCGTGTGTGTTTTTTTTAACCTATTTATTTATTTATTAATATATACAAAGAAACATGCATCAAAGTTGCCTCTTTTTTATTGTCCATGAGAAAATAGCAACATCATCTCAAATACGCTTTTGCAAAGTACTGCTTGCATGGTTCATGCTCCCTTTGCAACTAAAATGTGCATAATGAAATTGTAATATTTGATTAATTATAGGTTTGGCTCCCAAGCAGTTGACGCACACTTCACTTACAAACCGAACTTCTGAGACTGAGAACAGGTATAATGTTGCATGTATTGTAAAATCACAGTAACCTTCCACAGATTTATGACAGTTTTTGTTATAAGTCTGACTGTCCTGTTTCCTCTGACTTCAACTTCTAATTTCCTGTCTTTTATGAAAAGAGACTTTTGTTTTACACAGTTATTAAGTGATGGTTTTAAGAAAATTATTTATAACTGCATGCTTATTTTAAAAGGTAGAATTTAACAGCTTGGGAAAAATATTTCTAATATTTCTCTTCTCCAAATCAAATGGTAACCAGAAAGTATGGAAAGTGTTACCAAATTATTTTCACCTAATGAATTATTTCACCTGTTTCTTGAAGGCTTCTGTAGTTGACAGTAGTCTTGTAGATATGAACTTCTTTTATATGAGGGAAGAGGAGATTTACATAGGAATTGTTTTGTGATTGGTGTAAAACCAGAGTTTAGTGCTCTTATAAAGTCAGCTACCATACGCAATATAGGCGTTCTTGCCACTGACAGGTCAAGTTGATATTTTATTCTTGGTCATGTTGACTGTTTTAGTTCTGGACTGGTTTGAGCCAATGTCATACTAACAACAATTTCTTCTTGCCTGCAATCTCAAACAGCAATATAGGTGACACAGTGGTTAGTATATTGTGACTGTTTTCTGTGGTCGTAATGACGGCAAGAAAAAAGGATGTTGCAGTTCATTTTTGGTACTTCACCTGAGACCTGATTACCAATTCTGAATAAGCAGACCTTTTGTACATTTTGAAAAAAAAACATTACTATGGAAGTTAACAGAAAATGTGAGTAAGGTAGATTTCAACCTAGTTAAATTAATATTTTTAGATTTTTTTCAATATAGTACAAAATCACTTTTTGACCTTTCATATTTTTGTTCTTCAGAGAACTTTATGACATTAAATTATGATACTCAATTTTTTTACACTTATTGGCTGAGCAAAACCATATTGCATTACTATTATTTGCATATATATTTGCATTCAGGGAGCTTGCTTTACTCTCCATGTGCTGCCATGATATATCCAAGAATAAAATCTTGTTCTGTCTGTGGCACTCTTGCCGTAACAGAGTATAATATGGATGTATAGTGTAGACCTCTTTCAGATTTGTAAAAGTGTGTGATAAGAGAAAGATTTCAGTTCTGGCACAAAATATGCTGTTCTAAAATATCTGGAAAAAGTTCTTATTTTTATTTTTGAAAAGTCTTCCTAATTTAACCATGCTATATGTACTATAGCTACTACAACTAGGTGCTTACTCCTGTGTCTTAGGTTAGTTTACAACCAGAAAATAGTGAAGTGCCTACTTAAAGTAAGAGTATTTTGGGTGTTTCGTTACTGTAGTCACCACTGGTTTTGTCCTAAGCTTGGAATTAATATTACTTTTTCCCTTTGAATATAGTAGCAAGTTCACAGAGTAACTTTGATGATGATATATATAGTACCTTAGCTGATAGGAAAGTAAGAGAGGACTTAAATTGAGAGAGATTTCAGGGCCATCCATCCATCTGTTCATCAGGTCGCTTTCTCGCTCACTGTTTCCTTCACTCTTGGCAATAATCAGATGTTAGGTTAGAGACCATGAGTGCAGATGGAGCCAAACGACAGTGTTAACCAAGTGTCATTGCGAGTGGCCAGTTTTGCAGCTGTCATCTTTCCTCATTTGTGGTCCTTAAGTAAAGTGAGAACAGAAACTTGTAACTTGTCCGAACCCTTATATGTTTTTGCCTCTTTTCAGGCTGTTCAGAGGTCTCATCAAGAGCTTTGAGGCAAGAAGAGTCAGGAAATAATCCTGCACAGTGTTTGCAGTTAATTCCTGTGCATATGTAATACCAAATCAGCAAGGCTGAAAGGGAAGATGAGTTGTTGCAGTGTAGGCAGACTTGGCTCTCCTTGCCCAGTGCAGTTGTAAATCCTGCTGGTGCAGTGTTATAAACTCAAAAACAAATGCATCTTTACTAAAGTGAGTGTTCTTGATGATAGTTTATAGTGTACAGTTTTACTGCATGTAAAAACATGGTATATTTTTAAATGATTATTATATATATATTTTCAAATTCCCTTTTCTCTCTCTCTCTCAAAAAAAAAAAAAAAAAAAGGATCTGTTGCAGACTGTTAAATCCAAGCCTCCCTCTGTATCAGGAAGTCCTTTATTTGGCCTATGCTGTTCCCCAGCAGGCCTTTGGATTGGTCTTGGGTGTCTGTTGTGACTGATTCACCATAACACATTAAACTACTGCGATTGTAACTTGAGAAATGAAAATACACATTTCATAATCTTCAGATGATATTTGAGCTGAGCATGGCATCTGTTTTACATTGCAAAGCTGCATTTCTGGAAATATTTACATGGTCTCTTTTAGCAGACTGGTGTTTGATGTCTGAAAGTAGCAACCTAAGCTTTGTGTGGGAAATGTAGGGTTCGGTATCATCAATCATGCTCTGAAAATACCTGTGTTAAATGCCTATGCTAATTGATGCAACTAACCTACCCCACTTGATGAAAAATCCTTTTTTTTTTTTTTTCCCTTTCCCTTTTTTTTTTTAAATCTTTTGATTAGGCTAGTCGTATACTCTATTTTTGGTTAATCCTCCTCTTCCCTATTTTTTGCGTTAAATTATAAATTAAATATGTAGGACCATGTTTTGGGTAGCTAACTTGGCTATACATCTCCTTAAAGTTTGCTTATGTTATTCACAAAGACTTTTAAGTATCTAAGATAAGTATGAAGAATCCTTTTTTTAACATGAAGTATATTTATATTTCCAGGGTTCCTTTATCAAATCCTTCATTAGCATCTAAGTGCAGTAACTTTCTACCGTCTGAGGAACATATTCAAAAGCTAAAAGAAGCAGGAAAAGATGGTGATAAGCAACTGATAATAGTAAGTACTATCTTTTGTAAGGTTTATAGATTCTTAAACAATTTACTTTTGAATTAGTGGTACTGTGTCTGTGTTAAACTTGTCTGAAAATCATTAGTTGTCCATTACCGATATTGTAAATGATGAGTAGAAATAGAATGCATCCTGAATTGTTGGTATTGATAGGAAAAAATAGTAGCAGACTGGATTAAATTTAAAGCTAATGCTTGTCAAAACAAATGCATTTTTGGAAGAGGCTGGCCATTTAGTCAAGATACCTTTTTTTTTTTTTTTAATTTTAAGGAGAATGAAAAAGACACAGGAAGAAGTTTTCTTTTGTTTATATGCAAAAGCTCAATTTTTTAAAGCTTCAGAATTATATGAGGAAAGTACATCTGGCCGATTGTGTGCAAAATTAATATGAATAGATTTATATTTTTATCATTAAGTCTATCTTGGAATAATATATATTCTAAAGATCTTTTCCTGTGCATTCCATATTTTTCACCATAATATATAAGTGGCAGTGATGGCTTAGTTTCCCTATTCTTAGCTACCAAATGCAGGCACTTTTAAAATGGAGAAATGCAAAGTCATTATTCTACTTTATAAGTATATCCTTAGCTTCCTTAAGGAGTGTAAAAGAAGTATATCTTGAACACATAAATACCAGGATAGAAAATGATACGTATGAGTGATACTTCACATTTGCTTTGTATTTCAGCTATTGCATCTTCAAATCTCATTTTATCAACAGAGTTTGAAATTTACTTAATTTTTGGTCATAGAGTAATAAAGCTTGACTGAACTGCATCTAGGACCTTTGACAGGAAGAAATGTACAACTTTTTAATTAGCTACTGAAGAGCAGATGTGCAGCTCTGATCTATGGCACTCGTAGGAATAGCCTTTTTGCAATTACTATGGTAGTGGTATTTGGTTCTCAGGCTGAGCGTAATAGTATTTTCTCTTATGCTGCCTTTTTAACCATGAAAGTTTTAAGTTACTCATATAGCAAAATTTTAGAGTGTAAAGAACGGATCATCGATGAAGAACACTAGGAAAAAAGGAAGACATGTAGTTTCTTGGCTTTTGTATGTGTTTTTGGAAAATGGAACTGAGCAGCGTATTTTATTTTAAGTGTGAAAGATAAAACTATGGAGTATTTAATGTGTTTTGGCGTTTTATACAGATCAAATTTGTTTTGACTTCACTGAGTTCAGGATAGACTTATTTTATCTGAGGGGCTTTTTAGCCTGTAGTTCACTGCCAAGAGGCTTCTGGGTATGGTAGTGATTTGATACTTGTTTTACCTGAGGGAAAGCTGTTTTTACCGTTGTCAAAATATATAGAGGAACTCAAATATTTGTTAATCTATTTTGTGAATATAAAATGTTTTATTTTAAGTACTGTGGAGACAAGACAGTTATCTCTGGAATAGGTTGTACTAGAATCTGGAGCAGAGAGAAAAATAAACTCACTTGTACTAAACTTTGCTCAAAATAATGGAGTTTCAATGCATGTAATACACAGTATATTTTGTAATTAAGAGTACTATTTTGCAATTCCATGCTGAATTTCTTAAATATTGACTCTCAAAGGCTGCATATTCTTTTCTATTATTTGAGAAAATATTTCCAAAGCTGCTTGTGTACTGCTGCAGTGATGCCTTGAGAAGACGCTTGAAAGAAGATAAATGTTCTATAGGCTGTTCTGCTTAAAACTTATACACAGAAAACAGCCTTACCATATGCAGCAAAAACACTTAGGTTAGCATTTATAAAACCTGTAAATAATTTGATAGTTAATAACTAGAAACCATTTTTATTTGAGATTTCTGATATGCTGTGTGAAGAGAAGCATTTTCATTATTCTTCCTTACCTTGAACAAAGTTTGGGAAGTCATATTTTTATGCTTAACTTCAAACATTTACTTGTACTTTGGTGCACTTGTTAACATCAGAGACCTGATTCTCTCTGGTGTCTGTCAAGCCAGTCCCCTTAAGTGTATGTCACAACCCTTTTTTCATCTTTTGGAAGTGAGTGGTGGGGTGAGCCAAGTTAGACTCTTTTGCATGCTGTCTCTGCTGTAAGGTTGTTTTGCTGTAAGGTTGAACTTGTGTTGTATTTTGGTTTTAAACCATGGGGCTTTTTTGTTATGTTTTTGTTATATTAAAAGAGCAGATTTCTGTTCTTTTAATCCTTTCTCATGCCAGAGGCTCTGAGTTATTGAAGTATTGCAAATATTGTCTATATATTCTCACTTTCAACTTTCTAAGCTATACTTAGATAGAGATGTTACTGTGAAAGGAGTACCCTTTGGGTAGTCAGATCATGAAGCTGTGCGTCATCTTTCTTTTGCTCCCATATGATATCTGTAGTGAATAGATAAATTTTCTATTTTTCTTAACTTATACAACCTTTAGCAAGGTGTGCTTGCTGAGTAAGGCTGGCATTAAGAAGTTTCACTGTTTGATCACATCAAAAGTACAGTAATGGTTCTTATAGGAGCTATACTTGCCTTGTTCTTTTTCCCAGTGCATATCGTTCAAACATACTAAGTTATCTTCATTTCACAGAGGCAGAACTAAGACAGAGCATGAGTCCTTTCTGTGTTCTTCAGATCTGTTTGCTCTCGTGTATCTTGAACAACACGTCGGAGTGTGGAATTTAGGCTGAGAGCTGTGAGGAAGCTAATGCTGCTGTGCACTTTGTAGCACCCACTGTAGCAGGAGACAGTAGTGTTCAAAGTGATAAGCAACAGTTAATCCGTGAGCTAGGAGATCTGTTTTTTATGGATAAATGAAATTCCGATCAAGATCAAAAGCATTTTTATATTCCAAATCCCTGACTTCTCTTTAGAGTAGTAGCCTGTTCCAAAAGCTTAAAAACAGTGTGATCTGACACTCTGCTTGTGTGTAGTTCTGTTGGTAGATGATAGATTACGCACAGTTGTGCATTGGAAGTTTTAGAAAATAATGCATCGAAGTTAGTTTTAGATGCTTCCTGTTGAACTCCTGGAATCTAATGTGGAACCATGAGAACCTGAATATCAATTCCATAAACTTCTGAATTTGAAAGAAATATGAAACGTGCAAAGCATACACTTTGGGTTTTCACAAAATAACATGTCCTTAATGTCTAAGACAAGGAAAGCCCGATGTTCCCTTTTTGTAAAATTCTGGTCATTTACAAGATCTTGGACAAAATTTTGGTCATAACGATGTGAACCGCTAAAGGCATTAATCCTAAAAAATAGTGTTTTAAGTAGTGACCTTTGAGGTACCCATGTACTATTACTGTTTTATTCCACTAGGGAGGTGTGCCCTTTTGAAAATTAAGATAGTCTCTTGAAAGTAATATTCAACAGTTTTAGGGAAGTACTTGTGAAGAGAATGAACAGAGAAAACAAATCATTGCAGTGATAAAAAGATAATATAAGATTGCAGAGATTTTTCTGCCTTTTCTAGGGATGTAAATTAATGCCTAGGTGGGAGGAAGCATGGTTACGTGTAGATCATCTTTATGAGTGTCAGCAAATGTATAGATCAGGATTGCTTGATGAAAAATGCTTTTTAGTTCTGAAGCTTGAGTTGTTACTGTATGTGAAAGTTATGTGCAGAGTAATTCAGTTTACACATTTGGATATCATATTTGAGTTGCTACTTATATTTTGGTTAAATTTGAATGGAACTACCTGTTTGACTGAAATAAGTAATGCATGAAAAATTATTTGAACCAAAAACACAGGCTTCAATGAAACTAATAAAACAAGCAATATTTTCAACGTTGGTTTCTTATGAACCTGGAGCAGACTGCATAATGACACTTTAAATTGTTGTTTTCTTCCTTAAACGGGTTTACTCCAATTGGTAATTTCTCTGGATAAATGGAGAATGGCTTTAGGGCAGTATTTTCTTATTCAATTTAGTTAAATGCTGCCCCTTTTTTTTTTTTTTTTTTTCCCTCTTATTACCCCCAGCAAGAGCAAGGCAATGGCCACTAAAAAGCGCCTGAGGAGGGAGTTTGGTAGAATTTGCCCTTTGGGACAGCTTTGGCTTTGAGTGGGGCGATAGCAGTTGTCCTTTTCCCATTTCTACTTCACAGCAGCAGCCTAATTTTCTGTAGCAAATTCAGATGGGTTAGTTTGATGGTTTTATCCTGAGGATGGGAATGTTCCGTAAGGGTAGGTGGAGACCTGAAACCAAAATTCCAGCAGGAGTGTTGCCAATACATCATAGAGAGTGGTTTAGTATTTGATTTACATTTTTGTACATATTGAGAACAGATTGGTCATTCCTAGTTTTCTTTGTAAATATTGTATTGATTTGTTTTCAACTCTAAGGTTTTTTCGTATTGTTTTAGCTAATGACCAGTGAGAACATCATTTTGTGATGGATAATGACCCTCCACTTTTAATTTTTTAAAATATGGTAAATAAGTTACATCAGTTCTGCAAATTCTAAGTAGATTTGTGTTCTTTGACTGAAGTAATTTTTCAGAAAGATGGATATTGGTGGTGTAGTTTTCCTTGTTTGTTTGCTCTTGTTAAATTCTACCTATCAGAGTCTTCATTTTTGAAGTGAAACTTGCTTTTGAGATGGGTCATGTCTTCTGATCCTCCTGGTCAGCCAGGGGATTCACTCATCAGCTTTTATTTTGAATCCTCCGTTTGATGAAATGGCATTCTTTGACTTTTCTGTTTTCTGTTGAGTATTGTGTTTACTTTCCAGAAGACTAGAGGAAAAGAAAATATTCCTCTAACTAGCGTAGGTAATCAAGAAGGAGGTGACCTAACCTGTGCCTGTAACAAGGGCCCATTTTCATCTCCTACCAAGGCTCCAAATGCCTTTTTTGCTTGCAGGGCTCCTTATTCCACATATGGAGGATCAGCAGACATGCACCTTCTCAAAGAGGAGACCTTGGTAAGAATTTTCTTTCTGTCTAACACAGAATTAAGAAACCCTTCTGCAGTTTTAAGACATCATTGTTGCACCATTCAATTAGCCTTGAAAGAGTAGATCTCAAATATGTGCATCTCCCAAGCTCGTGTTAATGAGGACTGGCTGATAAAATGGCAATGCTCGGTTGCGTTGCGCTCACTTGCAGTTTTTGCTTTGGAAACAAAAGTATCCTTCCTTGTGTTATTGATGGAAAAAATAGTTTAAAATTAAGTCAGCTTTTAGCCCGCAACCTCACACTTTATTAGATATTGTCCTTTGTGGGGCCGGGAAGGGAATAAAAAAGAACAGAAAACTTTCCTGGTCAGTTATGAGACAGTTTCTTACTTTTTTTTACAATTTTGACACGGTGACACTTTACTCCAGTACCCAGTGGACATAATTTTTAAGTTAAATGAAGCTAAATTAAAGGAATATCAAAATTAAATTTCAAGAGTATGTGTTGCTTTTTAAAAAAATCCAATTTTTGAAGGTTTTATTTACCCTCCCATATGATGCATGAGGGTTGGTTTTGTTTTTGCTTGGTTTTCCGTTATTACGGAGAACTGGCAACCTTGAACACATATTATTGTTTGGGAAACCTTTTTATCTCTCAGTGCTTGTCCTTTTCCTTTTTGTTTATATAACGACATTAAGTTAAAAATAGTCAGATTCTTCAGATATTTCCTTAAAGTACCTCATTCTGTATTATTTCTGACTTCATTTTGCGTGTCCTTGGTTTGTACTATAGAATCTGCTTTGTATTTACTGAGGACTTTTTTTTTCTATCTGAAGCACGATAGCCTGATGCCTTGTGGTCTGTCTTTGAAACAGACATCAGAAATGCAAAAAGGCTGTCATCTCTATTACCCTCAGCATGCTGCAAAGTGTTTTTCCTCCCTTTTTTGGGGAGTGAGGAGTTGGTAATACACTACACTTTCTCTGATATTTGTAGTACAGGCTTTTAATATCCTGCGCATGTAGCCTATTGGTAAAACTGAATGCATGTAAAAATAGCAATATCAATGAAATAAAACAGCAGTAAAAAAAAAAAAAAAAAAAGCAGATGCCAGCAGCATGCAAGAAACTGTAAAATATAATATGGCAATATTATTCCAGGGAAATAATCTGTTGTTGGAGACTTGCTAAACAGCAGATGAATTGACAAAGCATGATGGGGTGAGCTAAGGAGGTTGGCAACTTTGAGGATACCTTTTCCCCTAGTTTGTTGAATAATTGCACAGCAAGATAATATATGTGTGTTTTGTTTGGTTTGCTAGTGACCTAATATATAGCTTAAATAGCTTTAACTTCTGAATTACTTGAAAAGAGATTTGTTCTGTGAGACTTACTGTAGTGCTAATATATATTAATACTTTTAAGTAGGTGACTTCAAATCTTATGTATCCTATTTTCTGTAGTGCACTGCAGGCCTCCAAGTAGTTCCCCTATCCCCTCACCCCCACTCCTTGTCCTACCCACAACACTGGGGATATTGTCCTCACCTGTGGGATAGGGGTTACTAGATTCAGTTCAATATGAGTCTTACGAAAATCACCATGCTCCTGAAATGCCTTTTTTTTCCCTTTTCTTACATAAAATCCCTTGAAATACAGCTTATTTTATTGTCCAGTAGGGCAGCTTATTTTGAATTATGTTGCTGCTTTAAAGGAAGACTGAAGGTAGAATTAAAAAATGTTTGTTTCAAGTTTTGCACCTTTGAAAATCTCATCATATGCTGACTTTGCAAATCCTTGTGGGGCTCATCTTTTATTTTTTTTTTCTTTCTTTTATCTTTCTTTTTTTTTCTTTTTTCTTCTCCTTTGGGAGCGTACTCCTGCTTTCTGGAATTTACATGCGGAATTGACACATTCAATTGGAGCATGTAAATTGGCGTATCAGTGATAGAGCAGTGACTTTTCAGGTTCAGCTTTTTTCCTCTTGCCAAGTTCAGCATGTGTGCTCTTAAAGAGGAGCCAGTCTTTGAACTTGCCTGGCCAAAGCTGTTGCATCTTTGTCCCCCTCTTGGAGAGGAAACCAGTTTCTAATTCACTAATGGCTGCATGATACCAGCTGCTGTTGTATGGAGAGCTGAGCTGTCATCTAGCTTTTAGGCGTACTTAAGCATACCTTGGAAGATGTAAGAAGTGATTTGTAAACGACTTCTATGTTGCAACATGGGTTTTTTGTTGTTGTTGTTGTTGTTTTCTCTCTCCTGTAAACTAGGCTTTTTGCCTGTGAATATTTGAGCTGTTAAAGAATATTGTATTTAGGTGATTGGTTTGTGAACATGTATTTTGTGCACTCAAGTCAATGTTCTTAAAAACTCGGGGTATTTCTTACTTAGTAACCTGCTTTACAGAATAAAGTAACTTCTTGTTTCTCTTCATTTATTGTGTTAAACAACACTTAATGCTATTTTTTCTCTATTTTATGTAAATCCCATTTCCAAATATATGGGGGAGGGGAGAGGTTTGACCAGTAAGCCATAAAGCCATAACTTAAAACATGCCATTTTATTTTATTTTATTTTATTTTATTTTATTTTATTTTATTTTATTTTATTTTATGTCATTTCATTTCATTTCATTTCATTTTGCCAGAGTCTGATACTCCCTTTTGCACTGTTGTCTCAGTCTGTGTATATTTCCTAGTTACTTTAGATAAGTAAATTGAAAAACAGTATGTACTAACACCCTTAATTTGATAATGCTTGGTTATAAGATAGGAGGATAACCTAAAGGATAAAGAGTAAAATTAAGTGATCTTCCAGCTGTACTGTAGCTTCTGTCAGGCATCTAAAAAATAAAAGTTCTGAACCTCATGAGATGGCACAGCTGTTTAGGTTCATGATCCAGAGCTCAGATGTAAATCTTGAGAGTATATTAAGTAAGAAGCTTTTCTTCAGTAACTCTTCTGCAAAAGAGTGAAGAGAGAAATGGAGGAAAAAAAAGCAGTGCAAATTGCCTTAAATTATTTAGTGTAGCTGATTTTCGTAAAAGCCTAAGATATCATCATCAACCACTGCATATGTATTAGGAGCCCTACGATTATTTCTAAAAAGGAAGACCACGTAGTGTGAGGCATATATATATATATGCACACACACACACACACATATATATAGTGTACATACATTTTTCAAAAGATTATTAAATGAACCTCAAATTTAACAAAAAAAAAAAAAAGAAATCTGCTTTCCTCATTTTGTAAAATAAAAGATTTTTTTTTTCTCCTGGTGCTGTGTTGATAACTAACATGATGGGGAGCAGGTCTGCTTTCTTTTCTGGGTAGAATTTGTTATGCAATACGTATGCCCCTTGAAGCTGGACAATATTTTTTTTTTTCTCAAAATTTTATGTTTATTCTTTCTCCTCTCATTAAGTCTTAGCCTTCATATTGAGTACACAGAAGATCAGTTTTAAAAGACTTATCTAATTAGGTGAAAGTTCTGCTGAGATGTATTTGTTGTACCTGAAACTAAACAAGTTCCTTTTTACTTTTTTTTTTTCTTTTAATAGGATGCAGGACAGAAGAGATTTGGTGCTATTTCCTGTAATATTTGTGGAATGCTTTACACTGCATCAAATCCAGAGGATGAGACCCAGCATCTGCTTTTTCACAACCAATTCATAAGTGCTGTAAAATATGTGGTAAGAAAACCTCATCTTTTTAAAGATATAAGTATGATCGCTTACTTGCTATGTGCTAGTTGTAATTCACATTAAATGAAGTCGTATTTTAATAGATTATTATCACAATAGGCCACAAGTCTAATATTAGAAATAAATGGCTACAGGAGCCACAATAGACAGGCAATATGTCACTTAATCAGTAGGATTGTGGTGCTTCATTTCCCCTGTATTCATTTCCCTAATTTGGTGGGGGGTGGGAGGGTTCAGTAAAAAGACAAATAATGTCACTCTCTTGTAAGTGCTAAATAGAGCTTTCAGAAAAATGGTGTTATACAACAGTTGGTTTAATAGCCAGGTACAGAGCTAACCATTTGCTGTGTAATATTAGGTAACTTCTAATTAGTTAATCGTTTGTCATTCAAAGAGAGGCTGCCTAGTAGTCCTGTTGATATAACATTATATTATGAAAAATCTTTGATGAATTTATAGTATGATTATAATCTTTAAATATAAAATTGAAATTGTTATTCCATACCTTCCTTATATGTACAGTAGCTGGGTTAAAGCTGAAATTTGAAAAACTTGGTACAGTTGTAAATATATTGTAAAATCAGCTACTTTATACTAGCTGATATTACAAGACTTACAGGAAATACCTGTTCGCAGTTTGCAAATGCAGAACAGAATCCCCAAAGTCTGTTTTCTTTATCACACATGTTACCTTCAGTACTCTACACTCGAGTAGATAAGACCTCCAGGATAATTGAACTGAGGCCACCAATTCATTTCATGTAGGTACCAAATGCGTGACTCTTAAATCCTAAGCACAAGATTATCCTATGATTTATCAATACAAAGATGCATCTTCATAGGAAATATATTTGAAACCATATGGTAAAATAGTTTTAGTGTTTGTTCTGTTCTTAGTTAGCTTTTGCTGAATAATCCCAACATTGTAAAAGATCTTTTCTGATGTGCATTAGCTACACCTTAGGGTGAGAGTGGTCAGAAAGCTGTACGTGGTAATGGCAACATACAGTAAATATTCCTCATCTTGTTGTTCTCTGCTTTTTTTCCTCCTCCCCCTGCAAACATTTTAAGCTCTCGAATGTCACTGAAGATGTAAAGATAAGTCACAGAAGATGGTGTTAATTCTTTTGAACAGAAGCTGACAGATGATTTCTGTAGTCATTGAACCCGCTAGCTCTGCGTGGTGGGTGGAAGCTGCAGTGAGGTTTGAATACTTGGGAAGTTGAAGCAGCTAGGACTTCTCACTTCTACGTGCGTTTAGAGTAGCAACATGAGCAGGCTCCTTTAAAGCAGTTGTTTACAACTTTGTACAAAAGTTAGGGATAGTTTCTGAAGAAACATGTACTGTTTTCTCAGCTTTCGGCATCTTTTTAAAAATATTAAAGTTTGTACTTGAGCACATTTGTCAGTTCTGTTTTCTTAGATGTGTAAGACTTTGTGGTTCATGAAGGCTTCAGTGGCTGCAGAGTGAGCATTTGGGTGGTTATTCTCACAGAAATTGTAGAGGAAGAGGTGAAGGGAGGAGTTTTGTGAGGTTTTTAAATTCCCCTCTGTTTTATTAGGAAAAAAAAATCACTCTGTATTTTCCAAATGGGGAAAACACCTTTAGCCATTCTAAACAGCCACATCTTTAGCTCTGGTCATTTAACACACATTCAGTTGTTCTTGGTAGATTGTGTTGTGGTAATGTTTGTGCTGAAAAGACACACATGTCCTCTTGGAAAGCAGTTTGAAATTTTAGATGAGCCTTCTTGCCCATGTCTGTGTTTTTAATGTTTAGAAGTAGGAGACTGAATGCTCGTTATCCTGGCTTTGTTAGAAGGCTCTGATGGGGACTGTTGGGAGGATGACTTGTGGAGGTATGCTTGTTTTCTCTCTCTGTATGCGTGTATATATGTGTGCATTTGTGTATATAGTTAGTAAAATGAAACGTTTCTTTCTCTGACAGTGTGTGTTAACAGGGCAGTATTAGCATCATGGGATTTAATAATTTGCCCAGGGTAGAGCCTTAGGTGACCTTGTGGATGCGACTGTATTAGCTCTCTACATATTGGATAGCACGTTGGCATTATTATTCATCTGAGGGTTGCTTTGAGGTATCTCCGAAGCATCTTTCATTCTGCTATCTCTCACGTTTTTCATGCCATAGGAGGCAAGGAGTCTTTCAGTCTTGCTTGGGAAGACTCCTCTGTTTGCTTTTGCTTTTGAGTGTCGCTTGTTATCTGCTGCGTAGTTGCAGATACTGATGGTTCATGTCACAGAATCACAAAAAAAGGGCTGTACATATCATAACGTAGAGTTTCTCTTGCTGTGAACTGTCAAAACAGACTTTTTAAATTGTTGGCAAGCATCTTATTCCACCTGCATTCAGCTGCAGTGTTTGTTTGTTTTTAAAGTACTGAGCAGCTAGAAGATAGTCTTTACATAAATAATGAATTATTTGCTATCAGGGTTATTTAATAATTTCTCTTATTTCTTGTAATAGATATGTTGTCTTATACATAGAAATTCCAAGTTGCCTTCAGAAGTAAGACAGACTAACAAGGACATGGTATTGAGACACTCGTCACTGATGTCTCTTACAGAGACAAAATAAATAAATATATAAATTGCAGACTTTGAATGGGGAGAGAGAGAGAGAAGTTTTGGCAAGTGTAAAGGCATTTAATGACTATGGGATGCAAAGATTCGCAGGGACTAACAAGCATTAAGGGTGGTGTTTACTGTTACCAGAAGCATGTGAACTGAATATGCAAGACAGTAAGGTAGTGGGAGGGTAGAACAGGAACAGGTTGATCTGGGAGATTTCTCCTGCTGTAGATGAACGTAGGAATCTGTCTTACTCTTCTTTTGGAGGTTTTCAGGTGTCTGAACCCAGAAGTAAGAGAACATTCTGGCAGGTATTTGTGTTAGGGTGATTACACAGGCATCGTGTTGACTCCAGTGGTAACTTCCTGTGGGATGGGGTAAGTGGTTTGGTTTTGTTAAAGACCCTCTAACTCAGATGCCAGGGAAAAGCAATATAGTGTTTCTGCAGTTTTCTTTTTTAAGAATAGAATATTAGTTGTAATTAAATTTTTAGCTTGCAAAGCCAAATGCTTCATTTAGGAAGTGCCTGTGGAACATGATTAATTTGTCTGCGTTTCAAGCTCATCCTTTTAGTTAGGAATGTCTTCAGTGGAAGAAACCGAGAAAAACTGTTATTTTGGGGAATATTTAATCTGATAAATTTTAATTGGCTGATCTGGTATAACTGAATCCAAGGCTGTCTGTGAGGTTCTTACAGCTTTTGAGTTCAAAAAGCAACATTTGACATCCTGGAAGCTGGAGAATTATAGAGTATATATAGATTGAAGATGGTGAATTTCAAAGTAACTTGAAAAGACTCCATGCTTCTCTTGATTGTATTGATTCTAAAATTGATATATTTGTGCAAAATGGAGTTCTCTGATAGTTCAGATCAAGTTTGTAGTGTTAGTTATTTTGAAGGAATATTAGTTTTAACAGAAGGTAATACTTAGGGGTTACATCCAAGGACTTTAATGCATTGTGCAGTGAAAGTTTCTTTCTTTATATAACACTTGTGGGTGATAGAAGCAGAATAACCTTCTTCATTTGTAACCTGATGAAGAACTTGGGAGGAAGAACTCCACAGACCTGTTACTGTGCTAGAAGTCACCAAGGGCAAAAGTGCATAAAATTCTCTAATTAAATTTAATTGTTAGGGGAGAATTTCATAAATACTTTTCTTGGTGTATACAATGTTAATCATCTTTTTTGTCTCAAAATTTTGAGATAAATTGGCATAAGAAAAAATCAGCACCAGTTTTTTATTTACTTGGGAAATAAGGCATGCAGACAAGCCAGAACTGTCACATATAGAAAACTACCAGTTTTCTGTCACATTTCCTAATTTTACGTAAAAACTTCTAAAACATAAGAAATAATCTATTCTGACTGCTGTTTTGAATATGTCAGGCGCTCCGTTACGTTGCAGCCGAAGCCCAGCTGCCTGCTGAGCCGTTGGGCGCTGTTGGTGTTGGAGCCGCGTGCACAGCTCCGGCGCGGTGTCGCGTCTCCATCCCCGGTGGTTTCACAGCTCCGTCCCCGTGCTCCTAGGCGCTGCCGTGCCGCCCTCTGCAGCCTGCGGCGAGCTGGGGGCGTGAAGGGCAGGGCAATGAGAAACATGCAGGTAGATGAAAAATCGCTTAACTGTTGGATGCTGGGTTGTTCTCAGACTGCTTCAAGTAGCTCTAGGATAAATAGCCATAAAATGCTAGTGGGAGGCGGGGAGTTGGGCAGTTGGGTGGGCAGGGGCTGTATTGTAACACAGGAGATGAGGCTCTACTAGCTGTGGTCACTAGGGGTCTGTGCCCTGAGACTGCTCCTTACAGGTGGTCTGTGGCTGAGCAGGGGCTCCCCGCAGCGGGGAGGAGCGGTGGGAGCATCATCTTTTACTCCAGGCCTTGCACAACTGGGGTCGGGGCAGGAACAGTAGGTTTTCCTACCTGACACTTGTGTTGATTGCAAACAACGACCGTCTTGCTTAACAATAAAATCCATCGTAGGGAATGCCCTGGAGTAATACACATGAAAATGAAAGGAAAAGCAAACTTTCTGGCATTGTAGTAGAGTACTATAAAGTATTTTGTAGACGAATGCTTTTGTTTCTTACCATACGGGTGTCCTTGCCCTCTGTGTTAAAGGAAATACCCCTCAGATTACATGCAATTTGTTGTTTAATTAAAGTATGTTTGATGTGCTGCAGACACCTAGCAGGATCAATCCTAGCTGAAGCTACAGCTTGTTTTCCTCAATAGCTTTAATGTTAGGATATTAAAGGGCCATGACAATTCCACGCTTATTTCCATTAGCATGATGTGAGAGGCACAGCTCATTCCTTATCGAGCATGAAGCTGAAGAAGCAGATGCTGTGTTAAATATTAGATTTTCTCTTTTTTTGTAATACTTGGATTTTATTCAGTCATGGAGGGGAAATGACTTTTAAGATATCTTTTCCTGATATGAGTTAATGGAACCCCAAATCTTAGAAGAGCTTAGGGTTTGGAGAAGCTTTTTGAAAAACTTTATCCAAAATGATGTATTCGTGAATAAATTCTAAAAATACTTGAATTTGGCAGCTGCCTATGCATGTTAGTGTTGATATTCTTCTAGTAATCGCTTAAGAAAATAGACAAAATTAGTTTTAAATACTTTCTCTTTGCAATTAATGGATTTTTTTGAATTACTTACGGATTTGAAATCATTTAGAAATGTAGCATCATTGTGTTATATTTTTAAGCTTTTCAGAAATATTTTTTTCATCAAACTTAATTTTGCTGTGATTCTGTGTAACACCAGCCTATTGCCTTAATGGAATATCTTAAACTAAATGTTAGATTTGGATTTTCTGCGTGAGGAATGCACCATTCGGGTACCATGATGACAGGGCTGCACTGTCAGCTGAGCCATGGCTGAGGTTTGGAGCCGGCTGCGGGAGCTGCCTCAGGCAGCCAAAATGCCGGGCAGGAGCGGATGGAGAGAGGACAGCGGTGGAGGGCAGGGATCCTTGCTTTGTTTCCTGGGGAGGGAGGAGGTGGGACAGGGAAGGGGGAGGCCTTCTCTGACATCCTCTGATGGCACCTCTGCCTGGGTGTTGTAACGCTGCTGTTTGCTGCGGTTATGCTGAGACCGGAGTGTAGAGAGTCCTTAAATAATACGTATCCTCTGTGCCGCTCTGCGCTGGCCTTTAGTGCTGCTGCTGTGGAGCAGGAAGGGCAGGACGGAGGTGGTGCCTCTGTGGTGGTCGTTGGGGGCTGCACTCCTGCGTAAAGACACCCTGGGCTAGCAGCGAGTAGGGGCATTTCCAGAGTTATTCTCCTAATGTTTTGTTTGGGACAAGGGATAAAATCAGTGTAATTAAAATGAAATGTAGATGAAGTATTATAATGCCTAAGCTTGTCTCTTTTTTTCTTATTTTTTTCTTTTTTTTTTGATAGTATATTTGGCATTCCTTCTGTGCCAACTTCCATCATTTGGTCTTTAGTTGAACGTTACTTTTGTGGGAAGGTACAGGTTTCAATGAGAATTACTCCATCGATACTGTTTCTTCAAAGACTTTTTTATTTAAAGTTGCTTTGAATAAGACATGTCGAATAAGCCTTTTTAGTGGCTGAAGTTACTTCTGCATTCAGTATTTTTAGGTCCCGTCAAAGCAACTTGAGTTCTAATATCTCTGCCAGTCCCATCTTACTAGATTTAAGTGGCTTTTTTTGTTTTGTTTTTTTCCATGCAGGTACTGCTCATTATTCACCACGAGTGTGGATCTGAAGAAGAGTTAATTACCTCTATTTTTTTGAGTATGTTTAACTTCAGATACACACAACGTAGCCTCCTTCCCCATTAGATTCTTAGAAGGTAGTTATAAAACTTTTTATAGTATCCTTCTTGTGATTTTAATAGTTATGATCATAAAAAAATAAACTATTCCTTACACTTTGGGCAACTGCATGCCAATCAGTTCATTTAGAACCTCCTGGAGGTCTTTCGCATGCCAAACTTTAAAACTGAGTGTGTATTTGTGGAGGTAACTATGTTAAAAAGAAATTTTTAAATAAAACTTAGGGCTTTTTTTTTTCCCATTCACTGGACTCTGGAAAATAAATACTACATAGGTTTGGAAATTGGTATGTGAGCTGAGTTTGCTATTTCTGCTTTAAAATTCATTTTGCACTGCAGTCCTGGGGGAAAAAATAAATTGGGAAATTATAAGACACTTTCACATACTGTTTTTAGACAGTTAGGCTATTGTGTCCTATAATAAGTAAGATAATATATCTGTTGTGTACATTTAGAAAAGCTAGCTGAAGTTTCCTTCACTAGCTAAGCAACTGCTAAGTAGTTTTAAAGCTTTTGCATAGTTCAATAAGTTTAGAACAATAATATGTAACTGATTATGTAAAAAAAAAAAAAAAACTCTTGTATATGCTTTATATAAATGTTTGTTTTATTTAGGGGTGGAAAAAGGAGAGAATTTTGGCCGAATACCCTGATGGGAAGATAATAATGGTTCTTCCTGATGACCCAAAGTATGCACTTAAAAAGGTATGGTGGCAAGTATACCTCATTTTCCTGGATAATCTAATGAGGAGGATCGTGGTACATTTTGTGTAATTTACGTGAGAGTGAGTAGTTTTTGCACAAACAGGTCAGTCGTTTCACCCTTAGGCCCCGTTGTTGACTTTGCAGAGAGGATGGCTCTGAGCTGCAGTGGAAGGCAGGAGAGCGAATCGGCCAGCTGATTTCTGTGAATGTTTTTAACGTGCTTATTTGCATGTCTGTTAAATATTTTATGTAATGCAAACATTCTGTTGCGTTTAAACATATCAATGTTACTCCACAGTACAAATAGCTGCACCGTAAGAATACTTGCTCTAAATTACCTGCCATTTTATAAAGAGAGATTTAGCTGGGAAGTGGCTTCAAAGGCATCTGCTTTATTCTCTTGTCCAAAATCGGGTCTGGGCATCATAACCAGAACTGGTAACTGTCTAAAACTCTTACTTCCAGAGGTCTTCCTAACTTCTCAGACCCTACTTCAGTGCTTTGCTGTCCTGGACATCAGGGATTTTCCCTAAATGTCTCACTAAATTTCTGTACTGCAATTCAGGCTCATTAATGCAGGACATGTCTTACACAGCTACAGAAAATACCCCTCTTCTCCTCTTTTTCACAGCTTTGATATGTTCGAACAGACTGTAGTTGTTTAGCCCTAAAAAGATCGGAGGACTCTGTTGTTGTTGTTGTTTTTCCCTATAGTTTATCCTCATAAGTAATGTTTTATAGCAATATATTGCTCTCATGCTCTAGATGTTTTGCATCTGTGCAAAACTTCTGTCTTTTTTCGAAGTGTTTTATCTAAACCTGAGTGAGGGCTTAGGGCGCAAGGCTACGTGGGTGTCTTGGTGTCCAGCCCGGGCTGAGGCCCTAAGTCCCTCCTCACCCCGGTAGCATCACGTGGATTGTTTTTAGCTCATGGTTTGTTGGGAGCAATGGGTGTTTTTACAGTACTAGCAGCTACTTGGAGCCCCTGGTGTTCTTGGCAGTTGTTGATCTGCAGGACATTACTGATTACTGCAGCAAAAACTGTTGGCAGGGAGGTTATAGGGAGCACCCAGGCTCCTCTCACACCACAGTGCTGGGTTGCCCCTTATCAGGAATAGGGCTCAGGTAACTGTGAATGTCACATGTCCAACCAGTCCTCCTGAAACGCAGTGGTGGGAGCGTGGAGGGCGGTGAGAGCCCGGGGCCTGTCCAGCCTGGGGAACAGCAACCCCAGCCCCAGGGGGGACCTGGAGAAGACGGAGGGATGATAGAGATGAGGTGAAATGAGAGAGGTTCAGGCTGGCTGCGAGGAAACGTTCCGCCCTGCGAGGACGGCCAGGCCAGGCAGAGGTTGCCCAGGACGGTTTCGTAGCCTCCGTCCGTGGAGGCTTTCGGAGCCCCGAGCGGCCGGGGCTGCGCTGCCAGCGGCCCTGCCCATGCGCAGGGGGTCAGCCTGGAGGCCTCCCGGGCCCCTTCCTACCTGAATTATTCTGTGATTCCACGTTCTCTGCTCCACATGGGATCATCCAGACTTGTTTTTCTTTTTTGCATCCTTGTTTACACTGTGCTACTCATTATCCTGGAAAGTAGCAAGCTATAAGGTATAGATGAAATGCCGCAAGTCAAGGATTTGAACTGATTCCGAAGACAGCTCTTTCTGCAGAGTGGAGTGACTGCAGTGGGTTTTCATTAGACTAGCAGAATTTTTCAAACTAGTATATTGGAAAGCACAGTTTTTCTTCCTATAATATTTAATTCAAATGTACACTGAATTCATAGAGAGTTCTCTAACTTTATTTCTCTAATTTGCTACCTGAATTTTAGTGTGATACTAGCAAGAAGTATGATTTTTTTTTTTTAGCTGCATATTTTACTTAAAGTTTTACTAAAAGGGCTAAGACGAAGAGCTGCACAGAAGCTCTAAATGGAACAGAGGGAGCAAGTCAGGTCCTAGCAGGAAAGGCAGCCCGGCCGTGTCCGAAGTTCTCTAACTTTATTTCTCTAATTTGCTACCTGAATTTTAGTGTGATACTAGCAAGAAGTATGATTTTTTTTTTTTAGCTGCATATTTTACTTAAAGTTTTACTAAAAGGGCTAAGACGAAGAGCTGCACAGAAGCTCTAAATGGAACAGAGGGAGCAAGTCAGGTCCTAGCAGGAAGGGCGGCCCGGCCGTGTCCGAGGCGAGGCCGGGGCGGCAGCGGCTGCGCCGGGGGCAGGTTCCCCTGTGGAAATCGCAGCCTGTGTAGGAGCTTTCATTCGGTTATACATCGTGCTGGAGTGTACAGTAACTCCAGCTTGTGCTAACCCTTCTAATATTAAACACTGAAGTCGCGTTTGTAGCTCGGTCGCTCTTTGCGAAGCTAATGGAAGAGTGGAAGGCTTGAGGAAAGAGGGGACAGTTACTCACTCCTTTGCGATAAATGCACTCATGATCTCTTTTCTAGCTTCCTTGCATTGCACCTGCTGTTATCTGCCAAAACTTTTAGTGGAGGAATTGTTGAAAAACAACCACCACTTCACGTGGCCTACTGCACTTCTGGCATAGGTCTCATTTCTTTGCTAGAGTATCAGGCTCTTATCTAGGTCCCCTCTCTCAGCCTCTGGTGGGAGTTTAGACCCGATGGGAGGTGTCTGCTCTCTTTATTTCCAGCTAAGCATCACTTGAACACTGTCACCTACTTACTGCAGCTTAGCCAGGGTAATCCTTAGCTTTGGGAACAGCTGTCAGTGTTCTCAACACTGTAGTGCATTTTTGTAAGTCTGTAACTTCCGTGTTAAATATAACCAATATATATTTATACGTGTAATTCTCATGCAGTGTTTATACTTATTTTGGCAGGTTGAAGAGATCAGAGAGATGGTAGACAATGACCTGGGTTTCCAGCAAGCTCCGCTCATGTGTTGCTCTAGAACTAAAACTCTTCTTTTCATTTCTAACGACAAAAAAGTTATTGGCTGTTTAATTGCCGAACACATCCAGTGGGTAAGTGGCTACGCTGGAGTGCTTTGTCAAGAGCTCCTGGTGGCATCTCCTGGACGAGCAGAATTGCGGGTGGTGCAGAGCAGGGTGAGGAGCAGGGCTGGCCCTCGCAGCAGTAACAACTTGTCACCTCATCGGTGCCTTCCCTTGCGCTGCACTGAACTGCCCATCAGGAGCAGCAGGCAAGAAGCCAAATCATCTTTGTCAAAAAGAGAGGAATCAAGAGTGCTAATAAGAATCAGATATGGTCCGTTGCTGTTTTAAATCAGATAGGCCTTAGAGGCTGTTTTTGGTGTAATCTCCTTTCATTACCTGTTCTGATTTTGAAGCTCTTAATTTCTCTTAACTCGGGCACAGGCAGGCAGCCTTTCTGGTAGCGCGTCGTAGCGCTTTTACAGAACTGTTACTTTGTTGGCTCGTTAGCAGCGCTGTCGTGAAGCACCAAATATTCTGCCCTCCCTTGCAGGGCTACCGCGTGATCGAGGAGAAGGTCCCCGAGGTGAGCTCCGAGAGGGAGAAGGTCATCTGCGAGCGGCAGAAGGCCTGGTGCTGCTCCACGGCCCCCGAGCCGGCCATCTGCGGCATCAGCCGCATCTGGGTGTTCAGCATGATGCGGCGGCGCAGAATCGCCTCCCGCATGATCGAGTGTCTCAGGTAATGGGGAAAGGTCCTTCCTTGGGTGTGGGGAGGGTGATCTCCTCCTTAGACGATAGACCCCAATCCAAGAACCTTACTCTTTTATTGCGCTTTGTAAAACTGGGAATATAAATGTGAGCACAGGTCGGAGTTCCAGTTTCACATGGGGTTCAAAAGCTAGCGCCAGTGTTGGGGAGCAGAGTTGTGGTCTTGGATGTTCCAAGTGACTCCAAAGTGCATTCTTGTCCAGGTGTTACGGTTTTGGTCCTTTCAAACCCTCTGTACGTGCAGTTTACCCCTCTGAGTTTGTAGTCTAAGTCTTCATTGTGGTAATTGTAATCCTAGTGAATTCCTTCATGTATGAAGAAGTAGCTGGGACTAGTTGGATTTTTTTTTTTTTTTTTTACTTCTTAGAAATTGAACTCCTGATGCAACTTGCACAGAATAGCCCTGTCTGAACTTTTTCTAGAATTTCCTATCAAGCCCTTAAAATAACATATGAGTAGATAAGAGATTAAGAAAAAGAGAGAGAAAAGGATGGAAACAGTTTTGTTGTTTCCATGGCAAGTGAAGACACAGAGTTAGGGATCAGCAGCCCTTCAAGACCTGTGTCAAGGTGACTTTCCATGACAAGAAATGCTTGTGTTCTTGCTGAGAGTAATGGGTTAATTTTCTCCCTTTTAAACAGGAGCAACTTCATCTATGGCTCGTACCTAAGTAAGGAGGAGATCGCCTTCTCGGACCCTACCCCCGACGGCAAGCTCTTCGCCACGCAGTACTGCGGCACGGGCCGCTTCCTGGTGTACAACTTCCTCAACGGGCAGCACCACAGCTGAGCGGCCTCCGCCGCAGCGGCGCCCGGGGGCTCCGGAGCGTGGGCAGGAGCCAGGGCCATTTTTGTTACAGTCAACTCAGGACTGGGAACAACCAAAAGGTTGTACTATTTTATTAAAATTGTAAACAATGCAGTAATAGGCTAACTTTGTTTTTTTAAAGAAAGATATTTTATTAACTTTTACAGAAGTTTGATTGTATTTTATCTAGTTAGTCATGTTTACATGCAGCAGAAACCTGTTCATAGTGGACTGCAAGGCAGTGCCCGGGGTGCAGTGTCACCGATGAGGTCTCCGTGGGGCCCCGCTCTCCGCGCAGCAGGATTCCAGGGAGAATTCCTGCCAAGAACTACTGGGAGCCCCGGCGGTGGCACCGGCGCCTCCCGGAGCCGGGGAGGTCTCCTGCTCCTCCTGTACTGCGTGTACACCTTGGTAGTGGGCCTCACTTTGATACTTGTCACTCCTTCATAAATCTCTCCTCTTTTAAAGGGTTTGTATGTTGAAAAAAACTGCTGTGGCCTTTCTCGATCTGTACATAATGTAGATAGATTAAAAATAAAATACTTGATAGCTTTTTCTAAGGTTACTCTGTACTGATGCTCTGTGTGAATGAATGGTTAGTCTCATTTTCTACGCCTGTGTGGGCAGCTAAAGGCACCTGGTGGTTCGAAGCTGCCGTTGCAGGACACGGTGACACTGGGCCCTGTTCTCTGGGGAAAAGTTCCCTTTTTGGCAACTGACGTGTTAGCTTCACCCGCCCAGGGACAGCTCAATAGTGCGGTCGTGTTTACAGTGAAAAGAGAGGTGCTGAATAGCATCTTAAAACCCTCATGTGGAATCGGGAAGGCTTAATTGTGTGTTAAGCTTTTAGGTTTGGTTTAACTGAGGAAGGAATATGCAGTTGTTCCGCATAACTGTCTGTGGCCCCGCACGCTCCCCGTGTGCCTCAGCCTGGGCTAGAGCCGAGGCCGGGTGCCACAAGGAGGTGTGAGGGAGCGCTGGGAGCACAGAGCACCAGCCAGGGCGGCCAGCACTGGGGTTAGTCGCAGCTAGTTAACCTTGGTTCACCCCTTGTCTGCCTGAGCCAAAGCTCTTGGCTCACACACAAGCTCCCAGGCTGGAAGATCTGCAGAACTGGCCATGTACTAAATGAGCTGCCTACAAAGGCAACTACTAGCACCACTAGAGCGGTATCGAGTGTTTTTCCTAGGTGCCAGCACATCTGTGCCTGAAGAACTGCAGGAATCTCGTGCCCTGTCCAGCCATCAAGGTTATTTATTTATTTTTTAAAAAGGGGCAGTCTTAAATGGTAACTTAGTATATTCAAATTTAATGAAAGCACATTATAAACATACCACAGCCACAACTGCAGACAGTTTCAGTTCATAAACAATAATAACATGAGGTAGACTGACTAGTGAAGCTAAATTCACCAAGTTTTTGGTTAAGAAAACTTTACACTAGGAAAGCAATTTTTTTAACCCTCTTCCAAAAGTCACAAAAAAAGCAATTACATAAGTTAAGCAAAAAGCATCTGAATATGATTCTTTAAATCTTAAGTTTACATTCAAATTCAACCTGTGAATAGACAATAACATCTATAGGTAAAATATAATGCTGGCCAATGTAATACATTCATAAGAAGGGCCTTGAGGGCGAGGCTTAAAGTCAAAATGGAATCACAATAATAATCTAGTTGTCAAATATTCTAGTTATCAAATAAGGGGGTCTCCTTTCCAGGAATTCCCAGCAGCAAGCTGCAGTTTTGAGATCTGTTTTTTTATGTTTTTAATATGCTTTGAAAACTGCCCTGGTCTCTGCAGGGGAAGAGTTCCATCACTCGGTACTGGAAGGCAAGGCCGCTGACGTTCTGCTGTAATGCTCAGCTCTAGGACAACTTTGCACTGCTGCACCGGAGGGCAGACTCACTGGAGTAGTCTCAGCACCTGGAATTTTAGGAACTTAGTGCAAACAACAAATACACGGACAAAAAGGAAACTTGTCTGTTGACCCCTTCATACCTGGAACTTTTACACTGAACTCAAACCCTGGGTCAACCTGAAGTCCTCCTCGCAAAACCTGGAATACATTCAGGTCTATACGAAAAGCTTCCAGAAGCATCTTTTATATCCCTACTTTATATCCCTGCCAAGGGTTAAACTCGATAAGGCAGGTTGTTTCTGAAGGAAAATAAACAATAAAGCTAAAGAAAAGGGTTCAGTGGAAAGTTGCTAAATTTACAGCATCAGAATAAACTACATTAACACAGACATTTGCAAACCATTTTCCTTTAGCCTCACTCTAATATATTATGTTTCTCATTTGTAAACATCTCTTCACACGATTCAAAAAAAAAAAGTTGCTCCATTAACACTATGTTTAAAAAAAAAAAATGCAGCTTTGGCAGGTCCTTCTCTGCTGCGTTCTCTGCAGGTCAAGTAGAGAGAGGTGGTTTCCATTGCATTTTTGAGGGTAAATTCATAGTCCTGAACCAATCTTGATAGCACACGCTACGTGTTCCCGCTGGGACAGGTTTAGAGCCCAGCAGGAACCTTTCCTTTCCTTCCCTACCTGCCAGCAGCAGCTTCCTGGCCCCATCGGAGCCGCCTTCTCCTCCACCCGGAGTCGCGAGTTCGGGCGGGAGCACCAGGACTCAGCACCACCTGTGACGCATCTGCGCCGGGACCAGCTGCTATTCACGGAACTGAATCAGAACGAGCGGGGCCAGCAGTGCGAGGTGAGGGTGCCCATGAGCACTGCTGCGGGCCGAGGGTGCCCACGAGCACTGCTGCGGGCCCAGTCTGACGCAGCCAGCAGGTGTCATGAAACAGGCCCTGGTTCAGCGTCGCCTCTCAGCCCGGCTCCAGCAGGGCCGCCTTCCCGCACACTGGGCTATTCTCTGATTCACAGAGAGGCACGAGCTGCAAGAGGCTGCAGCCCTAGGGAGGGCAGGGGGAAGGGGCACACAGAGAACGCGGCACAGGGGCCCCGCCAGAGCCTGTGCCTCGCAGCAGCGCTCGCTCCCACCGCCCTCGGGGCTGAACCACCCGGCTCCGATACCCCAGCACGAGGAGGAGCGAGGGCAGCGGCCCGAGCCGGGGAGGAGGCCGCGAGGCGGTGACGGGGAGGCCGTGAGGAGGTGGTGAGCGGGGGGGAGTCTGCGGCCGCGGGCCCTGCCATGCGTGGGGCGCCTGCCCTGCGCCCGCGGCTTTGTTCAGGTTGACGTGGTAAACTTTCAACACCTGTGGAAATTTTGCCCAAGACAGTTTCAATACAAACACAGTTACAAATTTTAAGCTAACACTGCACAGAGAACAAGACTAGTCCTTTTAATACAAATAGCTAAGTTAGTTATAGTGTAGTTTCAAACCCCTGAGTATTACTGTACCAACGTACAGCGCTGAAGAGGAGCAGCGGGCTCTCCTCCACGTATCTTCAACAAATTCCATATGTTGAGTCTCATATAGCACATTCAAGCCAGTGGATGCTAAAAGCAGCTTCTTCCCCTAGCTCAGCTGAATATATATATTTTTATATATATATATATAAAAATCTTCAACCAAATTATCTTCTCTTCCTATATCCTACAACTTGGTTGGCTGTGTAATTAGTGTCATCGATTGTGACGGATGTGAACACAGCTGGCATCCATGATCCTTTAAATTATAACTAACTGATGTGATAATGTTGTTTTTATCTAGGATTAAAGCCTACTTTAGCATTTTGGGAATCCTTCAGCGCAGTCTAGATAAATATCGGTTGCACTTCGCTCCACAGTGATTGTG